AACAAATAAAAATCACCATTAAAAACTGAATTACGTAATATATTTGTTCTATTTATAATCCAATTAGCGATCGCTTTTAGAATCACTTTTAATCCACGACGATATACATTCCCGACGAAACAACAATGACTAACGTTATGTAATGAATGACTCACATGTTATTGACTATAAAGGTCACCTAGGAATTGAATTTTGACAATACAGGTGTTGTACACACCTTGTGTTATTATTAAGTGACGTTCTTTTTTAGTATACGAATCAACTCTTGAAAGCTATAAGGGGATAAGCGACTCTTAACTTACTTTAGCAGCAGTAAAAGTTCTGCCGCCATATTTATTTCTACCGCCGAAAATGTGTGCATTACTGTGTTCCACTTTTGAAAGGTACTGTTGTAACTACAGACATTTTGTCAACTTTATATCTTAGAGTGAAGGACGCACTGGCAGTGCCCCTCAGTGCTTTGCTATATAAAGCTTTTGAGTGGCAATGTTGCGACCGAGAGTTTTGAGTAATCCAATGAAAGGTTCGGTCTACGTCAATTATTGTTAAATAGGGATAGTAAATGAAACAGGGAAAGATAAAGATAAAGATTGTAACAAAACAAAATAACGGTGCAAACATAGGTACAATCATATAAAAACACTCCCTGCTTAAATTACATACGAGTTAAATATGGTAAAAAAGAACGTACCCGAAAAGGGCCTGTATTTGTACAAATGTTACGCTTAGCAGTTAGGTTGCTTTATTTTCAAAGGCATAACTCGTTAGAATTTGATATGAAGTCGAGCACGTCTGCTCGCTTCGGAACTTTAATCATGAGTGAAGACCGAACAAAGAAAAGTAAGATGACGAAGAAAAGGAATTAAAGAACAATTCAAAATTTCAAAGTAGGTGGCCAGGAATCTGATAAAAGGGTGATAAAAATATGGGTTGAGGATGAAAGAGGTCGCATTGTCACACTGCAACTGCTATGAACAGGCGTATCGCTTACCTTTAGATTCTCTCTCAACTATTAGGTGTTCACATACCACTACATTTTCAGGAAATCTACTTTGTCACGCGACCTAGAGACACACGGTGTCCCGAACGGTGTCACTCTTTGTAAAAAAAATCACATTCATAAAAACTTACATAAACATACAAATTTTAAAAAATTATGAAAACAAAAAAAAATTAAAAAATACCAATACGTTAATCAACCTTATCGCTAGGGACAGCGCGTATCTAGAACGTGTGACAGGTTAAATCGCTAGGGTCTTCATGGCACTGCCACTTCACCCATTATCCTGAGATATAAGTTGAGAAAACATTAACCTTGCCCTTCAAAACCGGAACATGGTAATGCTATGCACGGTATGCTGGTAGGTAGGTATACATCTGCAAAATGACAATGCCAGCGCTGACCTACAGCTCTGAGACGTGGGCACCTACTATGGGCCTCAAAAAAAGTTCAAAGTCACTCAACGAGCTATGGGGCGAGCAATGCTCAGCATTTCTCTACGTGATCGAATCAGAAATGAGGAGATCCGTAGAAGAACGAAAGTCAGCGACATAGCTCAAAGGATTAGCAAGTTGAAATGGCAGTGAGCAGGGCACATAACTCGTAGAACTGACAGTCGTTGGGGTAGAAAGGTTATCGAATGGAGACCATGAACCGGAAGGCGTTCAGTGAGACGGCCCCCTACTAGATGGATAAATGACCTGGCGGCGGGATGGATGCACGTCGCGTCCGATCGGCTAGTTTGGAAATCTTTGGTAGAGGTCTATGTTCAGCAGTGGACGTCTTCCGGCTGATATGACGTTGATGACGAAAGAAATAAGTAGATAACTTTTTGTGCTTCTATAGGAGAGTTGTAAAATATCGCATACCTAAACATAATTTGTTTAACGTACTTCATGTTATTTTTATGACTTTTACGCGATAAAAACACTTGTGACGTGTGACCACATGTGTCTTTATTATACCAAGGGTAAGATATTACTACCAAGTATAAGCCACGATAGAGGATAATGAATTGGCGGCTTTATATGGATTCATGGCCCATTACCATCGTAAGCGACTCTATGCAGTGGATCAAAATAATATCCCAGGATAGGCAACTATACAAATTTTTTTTCTGTAGCTTTATTTACAGGATATATCACGGAGAGTGTGCGATGGAATTACACGATTTAATTCCACCTTCCACTTTCCATCATCGGGGGACCAGACGTAGGCTTGGGTACTACCCCTATGTTGTGGATATTCCGAAGCTACACACGAAGAGTTACGCTTCTACATTTATATGGCGAATGACTATGGAGTGGAATTCCCTGCCTGCAGACTTCTTTCCTGAACGTTATAACTTGGACCTTTTCAAGGCGAGAATGGAGGAGGCGATGGAGTCTAATGTGTACTTATATTTCATAAAAAAAACGTATAACCTTCTCCTTTAAAAAAAACTTCTACGCTTATAAACGAATCCATCTAACATCCCTTGTCATTACATCGAGTGACTGGATGAACATAATGCAGAGTTAGGACTGTGCAGTAGCTCAAAAAAGTAATATCAATATAGCTTAAGATCAATGACTGAATACTCCGAAAGGGTCAAACCTATATCAATAAATATAGAAACTTACCAACGGACCCGTAAACACAAATATTGCCTCTCGGTTGAAAGATCGTGGTCAGTGAGAATAAATCAAACTATCGACCAAGAGTGCCTACAAATAAATAATAGTGGACCCGAATATTTGCATTGAGTATTTGTTGTAGACGGGTCAAAACCGCAGTAGTTCGCTATCCATTTGGGATTTTATTTCGTAGTCGTTTAGGTGTAAATTGTAAAAGGGTCATTTTTAATTACCCGAGTCTGCCTTTAAATAATAGCACCAAAACTTACGACCTTTGTATATTTACACAGTATCACCGCTCATTTGCCGTGGTAAAAAAGAAAAGCCGTTGTAGCCTAATGTGAAGTCTCCAACCCGCATTGGACTATGTGGCGGAATATGACCTAAAAGGGGTCGCCTGAGAGGAGACCCATACCCAGCAGTACGTCGTAAATAGCTTAATGATGATGGTGATGATTGATCATTTGCACACTTCAATACGGACGGTGCTGGTACGTGCACCCGGAGTGACTCACCTAAGGCACTAGCCTTACAGAGAATCGGATGAAGTCCGTTCAAACGGGGTGATCCGGGGTTAGTAACTGACTGACTTAGGTGGTATCTGTGCGGATTCGCTCGAACAGGTCGTAGTGCCCTTCCCGCATAACCAATAGGGTGATAGGGAGGGGCACTATAAACAAAACTCACATAGCAAGATATGGGACTTTCAACAGTCGCTGACCTTGCGGTGTATCACAGACGCCCCACGATACGTGAGAAATGACGTCATCCAACGGGACTTGAGCATGGAGAGCCTCGACAGCTTCGTTGATCGCCTGGCCAAGA